AAGGATAAGAGAAAAATATCCAAAACCCACCCAGATGAGAATTACTACATAAAATATCAGATCGCTCAACTTAGGGGACCAAGAAATAACCCAAGTGTTGGAAGAGAAACAAATAGACATTACATATATACATCCATAGTAAACAAAAAAAAGGACAATCTAAATTAGGTGAATACATACTAATCAACAGTGAAATAGCAAAAGAAATCAAAGATAAAAGAAAGTGTAGCCTTAATAATACACCAAAGGTATCAAACTCACACCAAAATATGTCAATACATTTAAGAAAAAACTGTAACAGCAAAGGTAAGAATGGAAACGAGAGACTTACTTATTCATCATCGGAGTATACGGTCCAAAAAATAGTAAGCCTCAAACAATAAGGGAAGCGTTTTATATGACGAAATACAAGTAGTTGATCAAGTTTGAGGGAAGATGAAAATATTGAGTGATTTTAACGCTCGAATAGGCAATCAAGTAATACCCAGAATTAAGAAAATACAAAGAGAGAATGTTAAAAATGAAAATGGAGAACTGATGAAGAACAAAGATCTACGATAAAATATGTTATAACCAAACGAGATATCATCCGTCAAAAATAATCGACGTAAGATGTTTCAACTCAGCAGATGTAGATAGCGACCATAGCCTAGTAACATGTAAAATAAGAATCATTACGAAATATTTCACAAGAATATTCAAGAAAATTGCTGGGAATAAAATATTAGAAAACGATAACATCAAGGAAAGTTATGAAAAACTTAAAAATAACATAATTAAGGCAGCAACAGAATCACTTGGAGGGAGGAAAGTAACAAACACTAAAATATCAAAAAAGAAAATCCCATGATTTAGAGAGGAAGTGATGACAAAATATAAAGAAAAAATAAAAACTTTTTACAATACCGAACACAACAAACACAACAGCGATACAACCACTATAAACAAATCAGAAATGAAACGAATATTCTAGTCAGATAAATAAAAAGGGAATACTGGCAGAGCTACTCAAAACAGATGAAGCACGCCTTCTACATAACACAAAAGGAAATGTGAAGAAATGATAAGAGAATAAAGAAAAGAGATGAATAAACTAATAAAAAGAGAACACAGTCAGAAGGAAACATGGGCCGACTACTTTCAATTCCTATTTGCTAAAGATGATAATAATGAACCACCAACGCCAGAAATAATGCCAAACGAAGAAATAATAATTGAGGAGGAGGAGCGAAAGGAAACATTAAAAGAAATTAAAAAATAGAATATCACCAGGAGAGGACCGAACACCAAATGAACTCCTAAAGTACAGAGGATCAGATCTGACCAAAAAATCATTAAAATTAATCCAAAAAATAATAGAAGAAAACAGAATACCACAAGAATGGATATCAAGCATTCTACTACCTCTCTTCAAAAAAGGGAGACAAATCGGACCTGGAAAATTGCAGAGGAAGTAATTGAATAAACTCAACACTAAAAGTAACAACCAAAGCGATAATAAATAAACTTAATGAATAGGTAAAGTGTTTAATTACTGTCAAACAACTGCAATAATAGAATTGAGTTCTCCATTCAACAATATAAAGTAGTTTCAACCATGTTCTACCATCCATCTATTAATAGAGTACCGGCATGTAAGTAATGTTTATTTTATTTATTTATTTGCTCATTTATTATTTTATTACAATCGAATAGACTATTTTATAACAATTTGTGGGCCTTACCTTGTCTGTTTAAACTTTAAAAAAAAAATTTATACCTTTTATTCAACTTACTCATTTAAATAAAACCACAGACATGTAATATTGGTATAATTATTGTAATTTACAACACCTACTTTGTTTATCGTTATTAGACAACACCCTAATATGGGTTTTTATTATTCAGCATTTGTTTAACTTTGTATCGAAACCTGAGGATGCTTTGCATATTGTAGAAAGCGAAACCGGTCGTCTGATAGTTAAATTAAATTGATTGTGAGTAAGTCTTATTTATTATTTCTTTACCTATTTGAAATGGACTCACACAAGCAACGCATTCATGATTTAAACTTACTTAAATTATAACATTATGCAAGGAAAGATTGAAGGTAGGCGCAGCATAGGTAGGAGAAGAATGTCGTGGTTGAGAAACCTCAGGGAGTGGTTTGCTTGCACTTCCATACAATTGTTCCGAGCGGCAGCCTCCAGGGTCAAAATTGCCATGATGATAGCCAACCTTCGTAGCGGAGATGGCACGTGAAGAAGAAGAAATTATAACACTAGCAGAATAACAACAATGTTTTAAGTCGGGAAGATCATGCAGCGACGCTATATTTATAATGAGAAAAGTGTAAGAGAAATCATTAGAATACAAAAAACCGGCATATATTTGTAAGCAAAAGAGATATACCTCTAGGAATAATCAAAACAATCAAAAATATCTACAAAAACAACCCAATAAAATAAAAGTAGAAGAAGAATGAACTGATCCAATTGAAGCTAGCAATGGAATAAGAAAGAAAATTTTCCTGAGTCCTTTATTGTTTAAACTTATTATGGATGATATAATAAAAGCAGTAAGAACTACAAAAGGATACCAAATACGAGAAAGACGTATTTGGAGTGTATATTATATAGAAGATTATATAGAAGGTAATTTCAACGTATGCTGCTCCAATTTAATATAACTGCTAGGAAATTTAACATGTTAATTTTTCCAAAAAGAATTCCTTGGTTATAACAGTAAATATTTTAAGATGTAAGTTGTAGCTGGAAGGTCAGATTATAGAACAAGTGTTGGAGTTTAAATATCTAGCATCACAGTCTCTAGCTACGGAAAACTCAAAACAAAAGTGGAAGATCAAGTAAATAAAGCAAACAGAGCAGCAGGTTACCTAAATGAAACAATATGGAGATATAAAAACACCGGAAAAGAAATGAAAGACTGAATTTACAAAATTACAGAATTTACAAAACAGTCATTAGTAAACACGACCTGACACAGAGAAAACAAAAAAAAATGTTCGAAACATCAGAGATGAAAACTAAGAAAAATTGATGGGAAGACACTGTGGGACAAAGCTAGAAGTACAGATATTCGACGTAGATTCAAGGTGGAGAACAGCAAGGTCTGAGTAAGAAATAGAAGAGTAGAACGTAATGATCATGTCATCCGCATGACAACAAATAGAGTAGTAAAGACGACTAGAGACGCTTCCCCAATAGAGAGACGATCAATGGGAATATCACGTACACGATGGAAAAACAACTTGAGTTATATTGAAAAACGGACAGGGTCATGTTTACATAAAAAGAACAAGAAGAGAGACAAGTGGGCCAGGCGACCGAATCGCATTCACTTCACTGTGAATGATTTAATGGACGATGGTTCAGGACCTGGCAAAAAACATAAGGCTAACGTAGTAGTTTAAAATTCTAAAGGGTGTTACACTACCATAGATTCCTATTGAAAGAACGGATATGCTTAAAAAACCAGAATATAGATAGATAGTGAAAAAATTTTAGATTGTGTCTTTAATTTAAAAGTATTCGATTTTCGTTTCTAACTGCACTTTTGCCGAATTCCAGTCTATTAAATTCCAAAAAAACAAGTAAGAAGACAGACATCTCTAAAGTGTACCAATAAAAACAATAATTGTCTCATCATACCGTCCGATGAGTCTTCTGCCAACTCTCTCAAAGCTTTTTAAAAAGATTCTTATGATTAAAATCAAATCTATTATCTTGGAAAATAACTTAATACCAAACTTCCAATTTGAATTTAGACAAAAACATGATACCATCGAGCAAATTGATAGAGTAGCCAGAACAACTAGAGATGCCCTTAAAAACATGTCAAACAAAATTCTACAATTATATATAATAGAAAGATATCCTTCAGCAGTCCCTCAAGGTAGTGTACTCTGTCCAACACTATATTTACTGTACACAGCTCACATCCCTACCACAAATAATGCTACGATTGCAACATGTAAATTCAAGATAAGCATCCAGAAATTTCCAAAACGATTTAGACCAATTAGAAAATTGATAAAAATTATGTCGTGTCAAAGTGAATAATACTAAATCGAATCACATCAAATTCACGCTAAAAAGAGAGAACTGCCCTCTAGTATATATAAACCGAAAATTACAAAGGGTATCAACATAGATAATCACCCAAATTGGGAAAATATAGATGGTCCAAACGACTACACTTGGGCATACTTTAAAAGAAAATGTACTGGTTTATGAATCGAAAGTCAGTTTTAAGTATCCAAAATAAACTTTTTCTCTATAAGGCAATACTACAACCGGTATGGATATATAGAATTCAAATCTGTGGAACCACCAGTAACACAAATATGCAAACACTACAAAAATTATATTCCAAAGTCTGGTGTTGAAACTGTTTAAGAAGCAACTGTCACTCAGTATAAACTACTGTAAGAGACTATAATTATATCCAAATCCAATCGCAAACAACCTCCTGACCCCACCACTGCTTAGAAGACTAAAAAGGTTGAATCCTCTAGATCTCACCACCACCGCTAGAAACTAGATAGAAGTTACTCATTTGTAAAAAAGTCAGAAATTTGGTAATGTTGCTAATGTAAACTAAATATAGATAAATGGTGCTCACCATCGGGTGCAACTGCCACTGTATCATTTATCTATATCTTTACTACATATTGTTTATTGTCATATTGATAACAGATTGCAATAAATAAACGAAGTTAAAAAACTTTATTTACTAGTACTTAGTTAAAGTTCTGTACTAAAAATCACGTCTAGGGTATTTTGTATTGGAAGTGTTCTGAACTAAAGTAAAGATGCGTTAAACGACACAAGTTACAATATTATAAGAGTGAAAAATTTGGAAAGGAAAAAAACTTATGATTAAATTTAAAATTTTTCCTTAATTTCGGCCACATTAGTGAACGTTGTGAAACATTACGACACAGATTTTCTTTTCGAAAATATTTTAAAAAGTCTTCCAAATTATATACAGGCACATACCCACAATTCGCATGATGAGCTTGAGAAACACTAAGGATCATGTCGTATACGGCTAATTGTTTCGTTTCAGCATCGGATTGATCCGCATCTGATGTTGTCACTCTCAATGGCTCGTCGGTACTTCTTTCCCTCGACCGCTTTGGCACTCTGCCGTATCGAACAGCTAAAAAAAAATAAATAAATAAAATGAATGCAAACATTTCAATATACTGGATATCGAATGTGGCTATAATTAGGTTTTAAATAAAATTATTGTAACAGCTAAAACGGTGAAGTTCAATTACTTTAACTTATTTTAAAACTAAAATTATATGAGATTTTACTGCTGAATCCATTGAGTCAATATCTGAAAGAAATTAATTTGAATATATTCACACAATATGCAAAAATTTCGCAAACGCAGCATAAAATCGATTAAAGATTATAAAGGCTTTGTACAACAGTGAAGTTAAATCACTAATGCGAATAATGATGGCAATGATCATCATAATGACGATTATGTTATTTTTAAATATTTTGTTATTATCATTGTTTTCAAACTACATTTCACTATCCTGCTAATTTACTTTTAGTTTTATTTTCTTTTCCTTTTCTTCTCAATAATCTGGTTTGCTAATATCTTTTTACCAAGTCTGATTTAAAAATATTAATTTTATCCGTGGCGTTACAGTACTGTCTAATATATGCCATCCAGATTATCTTAATTTTCTTAAATGCTCCTTGTTTTTTTTTATAGTATTTATTTAAATCTAGATTTTTATCAATATGTATAGCATAGCATAATATAAAAGAAAAAAAAAAGTGGGAACAAAAGTACTACCAAATATAAAGGGATTCGAAATAGAAAGAGCTTTAAAAGAGCTAAAAAATAACGAAGCTCCAGGACACGACGGTATAATTGCCGAGCTCTTGAAAACAAGCAAGACATGAACAATCCCTGTACTAACAGAGTTATTTATTATTTAATAGATGCCTCCATTTTTTTTTCGTTCATTCATCATTCATTTTTTACGTCAAATGAAAATAATCTGGAGTTCTGGAAAATCTTTTTCCTAGTATCCCTCCTACAGAAACTTTTATTCTAGTAAAAAACCTTTTAGACCAAAATAGTACAAATCCAGTAATTACATCTGAAATATTACATCTTCTTGAAGTTTGCATAAACCAGGACTACTTTGAATTTAATAATAAAATATATACAAATAACAGTGCAGGACTTATAATGGGTAATCCTCTAAGCCCATTGCTATCAGATATTTTTATGGATCATCTAGAGACAAAGATTTCAAAACATCCCGTATTCAAACAGTTTTTATATTGGTGGAGATACGTAGACGACGTACTGGTATGTTTCACAGGAACTAACAGGCAACTCGACCAATTTTCATCGTATATTAATTCACTTCATAGTCATATTGAATTTACAATAGAAACAGAACAAAATCAATGCATAAATTTTTTAGATTTAAAAATTAGCAGACTTCAAAACAAACATGACTTCTCTATATTTCACAAACCTACCCATACTGACACGACTATACACAATTCATCATCCCATCCAACACAACATAAACTGGTAGCTTATCATAGTATGTTACATAGATTAACAGAAATTCCGATGTCAAAAGACAACTTTGAGACAGAATTAAATATAATTAAGCAAATAGCAGTAAACAACGGATACAACGAACAAACAATTAATAAAATGTTAAATCAAAAACTACACAAGAAAGCCTGAAAATAGTATTTCCACCACCAGAGAAAAAACCCAGTACCTTCTGCTCGATTACATATACAGGCAAAATAACAACAAAAATTGCCAAACATATAAAAAAGAAAGGAATAACACCAGCTTTCCGAACAAATAACAACCTAGGTAAATATATTAAAAATAACAAGAGCCAAATTAAAAAACACTTAAATAGTGGTGTGTATAAAATTCAATGTGGTGTCTGCCCAAAAACTTACATCGGTCAAACTGGTAGAAACTTTGAGAAACGAATAGCAGAACATAAAAGGGCTTTCAAGAATAGAAAAACAGATTCGACATACGCACTTTACCTTCTAGATCATAATCATTCTTTTAATGACAAATTTAAAATTCTTCACGTTCAAAATAAATGCCTTAAGCTATCTTTGTTAGAATCTATGGAAATCAATAAATTAAAAAACACAGATATAATTCTGAATGACCAACTTGAGACAAACAGTTCTCCCCTCCTCAACCTATTTCATTAGAGACTATAAATTGTAAAACGCATGCCAAAAATAGATCACTTGAGACTATAAGGCTATCAGCCGAAACAGCTGTAGTGATAATAGTTAAAATAAATTTTGTGGAAGTTTGAAAACAAAGTTTTCAGTGTTTTATTGTTACATATCTATATATATATATATATATATATATATATATATATATATATATATATATATATATATATATATATATATATATGAAAATGCAGCTATGATAGTAAAACTAAATGAAAATACAAATCCCATCCCCATTAAGGGAGAAGTAAGACAAGGAGACGTAATATCGCTAAAGATTTTCAACCTAGCCCTAGAAAACGTCTTCAAAACTACAAATTGGTCAACCTATGGCATTAACGTTAATGGCAACAAGTTAAACCACCTCAGATTCGCTGACGACATAGTGATTATAGCGAGCACATTCGAGGAACTGCAAATTATGATGATGGAACTAGCAGGCAGCTCCCAATACGTTGGCCTAAAAATGAATATGAAAAAAACAAAAATATTGACAAACACAGATGACCCCAGGCGTATAACTATAAATGGCAATGAGATAGAACAAGTCCAGGAATATATCTATCTAGGTCAAATCCTAAAACTTGACAAAGAGAACCAAAGTTCAGAGAAAATACCCCAATGTTCAATCAATGCATCCTTCCTAACATGACATATGGATGTGAAACCTGGACCCTAACCAAGGCAGACATGAATAAATTAGCCACAACAGAAAGAACAATAGAAAGAACAATGAAAGGTATACGACTGTCAGATAAAAATAGGAACAACTGGGTAAGATCAAAATCAAAAGTCGAGGACATAATAACAAAAACTGCCAACCTTAAATGGAGCTTCGCGGGCCACACTGCTAGCCAAAAATACCAGCGTTGGAATACTACAATACAATATTGAAGACCTTACGAAAGTAAACGACCAAGAGGAAAGCCACAGATGAGATGGGTTGATGACATTAAAAGAATAGCCGGAACAAATTGGAAATATGTTGCTCAGAATAGAGACCGATGGAAAGAGTTGGTAGAGGCCTATGTCCAAACATGGACGATAGAAGGCTAAGAAGAAGACGAAGAAGAAGAAGAAGAGAATAATACACATACTCAAAAGCATAGGACATAAAGCTTTGACTGTGTATTATAAGAGCCTAAAAGTGCTTGGATCGATGCAAGCTTATTAAATATTTAATTTAAGAAAGAAAATAAGATAAATAGGATATCGGAAATACATCCCTCAGTAAATTAAATTATTTTGACAAATATACTAGAATTTAATAAAAGTTGCTCTAAAATATTAACAGATGCTGCAAAATCTAATAATGAAGTTAGTGTTGCTTTCGTAACCGAATTCAATAAAAAATATTTTCAACTTTTCCTTTACTCAGACATTATATATATATATATATATATATATATATATATATATATATATATATATATATATATATATATATATATATATATATATACCTACAGCCGAAATATTCGATCTTTATTGAGCAATTAAATTTATTAATAAAAGGGGAATAGGCACAATGTCAAAATGCATTTTAAATGTATTCATTAATTATCTCTTTTATTAAAGAATACAAGAAATAACCAGTGCATTAAAACAAAAAAATAAAGTTGACATAAGGCAAAGAGAAAACTGCTGAGGAAAACTAATGAGAATTAAAAATATATTCAAAACCCTTGAAAAATTAAGTGCACTAAAAACATGAAAAACAAGGGTGGATGACAGAAGAACTAGTGAGATTCATGGACCAAAGAAGTGAAGTCAGAAATAAAGAGAAAATCGAATATAAGAAGATCCATACAATAATCAGTGAAGATAAGATATGCAAAAACAGAATCTCATAGTAAAGAATTTAACGGAATTGAACAATATAAAAAGAAATTCGATACATTTCATCAACACAAAAAACTAAAAGAAATCGCCGAAAGCAAACGGAAACAACTATCCCAAAGTTTTAGAATTTATGATACTCTAATATTACCATTAACTATCCTTAATTAACTTAAGTCGACATTTGTCACAATACAGAAGAATCATCGTGCAAAGAAATGCAATAATTATCGGACTATAAGTCTCATGATTCACATTTTGAAACTCTTCCTGCGAGTAATACACAACAGAATATAAACAATAATATAGGAGATAATTACCTATACTCAATCTGGATTTGGGTACAAGAGAAACTTTTCTCAGTAACCAAGTACTTATACAGAGATCTTCTTCTTTACGTGCCATCTTCGCGATGGAGGTTGGCAATCATCATGGCTATTCTAATCTTAGATGCTGCCGCTCTGAATAGTTCGATTGATGTGCATCCGTACAATTCTCTTAAGTTTCGCAACCATGAGATTCTTCTCCTTCCTATACTTCTCTTGCCTGGATTTTCCTTTGTATAATTAATTGAAGTAAGTTGTATGATCCAGGTATTGCAGCTTTCGTGTCTTGATGGTTTCCAATACATCCATTCTTTTGTTGACTCTTCTGATGACTTCGTTGTTTGTTACATGCTCGGTCCATGATATCTTCAGGATTATTCTATGCACCCACAGTTCAAATGCTTCCAATTTTTAGTAGTCGACGCGTTAAGTGTCAATGCTCGAGAAAATATAACACCTTGCCAGCCTAACTCTCAATTCTAATTTCAGTTATATTGCACAAATTACTTTTCCCATTTTAGTAAAGTTTATGCGTACTTTCTCTATTCGAACTTTGATTTCTTTGGAGTAATCGTTTGTGTATAATTGATTATTGTGCCAACATAATTGTAGTTTTTAACTTGTTCCAAAGTTTTACCGTTAATTGTCAGGCTTTCATAAGTATTTTGGCTTTTTGAAATCCTTATGAATTTAGTTTTCTTGATGTTTATCGATAATCCATATTCTT